TGTGTGTGTGTGTGTGTGTGTGTGTGTGTGTGTGTGTGTGTGTGTGTTCTGCTGAAGTAGGCACTGCTGCAGCTATAAAGAAACGAGGCCTCCTAGGAGCAGCTGCTGGAGGAGATAAGGTTAAATACACAAATGATTCAACAAAACACAGGGCATTCAAAACTGAACAAGATGTACAAATCGCCTTGGAGGGTCAGAGGGGGAGCTATAACGGCTGGGCAGGCTGGGTTCAGGGACAACCTGGGGAGAATCAGGGAAAAAAAAAAATCCCACGGAGACTGTATCATTCGATTTTAGCATATGATATGCTTACGAGCACCGAGGAGGATTTGAAAAGGGAATTTAAAGATTTAAGAAATCTGGGCACAGTGGACTGGGCCTCTAGTCTCAGCATTTACATTATTGTGTCTAAGACTTCAGGATCACTTGAGTTCAGGAGCTCTAGACCAGCTTTGGCAACATAGAGTCCCAGGCAACAGATAAAAATAAACAAATTGGTTGTAGTGAAATTTGCCCGTAATCCCAGTACCTTGGAGGCCCAGGAAAGAGGATTTTAAGGATAGCCTGGCCTACACAAGCCAGCTTTGAAAATATAGGGAGACCTCATTCCAGGAAAAAAAAACAGAACAAGCAAAAACCAAACCAAACCAAAAAAAACAACAACCCAAAACGCTGGAGCCAGAGGTGTAGCTCATGGTAGAGTGCTTGCCAGGGTTCAGTCCACAGAATTGCATTAAACCAGTTGTGATGGGCATGTCTGTAATCCCAGTACCCAGGAAGTGGAGGCGGGAGAATCAAGAGATCCAGGTCAGCCCGGGCTGTATGAGACCTTTCCTCAAAAACAAACTAAGGAGAGCTGGAGAGCTGGCTCAGACATTAAGAGAGAATGTTGTTCATCTGCAAGACATAAATTTGGTTTTCAGCTGTTACACGGGCAGCTCACAGCCACCTGTAATCCCAGCTCCAGCGGATCTGTCAACCTTTTCTGGTCTCTGCAGTCACCGGAATGTATACGGAAAACACGCGAACTAAAAATAAATCTAAAAATGAGTTGGTCACGGTGGCCCACGCCTGTAATCCCAGCACTCGGGGGAGGCAGAAGCAGGCGGATAGCTGTGAGCTCGAGGCCAGCCTGGTCTACACAGTGAGTCCAGGACAGCCAAGGCTTCACAGGGAAACCTTGTCTCGAAAAACCAAACCAAAGCCCCCCCCCCCCCCCCCCCCCACAAAATGAACAAACGCATGAACAGTAGACAGGGTATTGGGAAGATACTGTTATTAATGGCAGGAACAACATATGCAAAACATGAAGATGGGAGTAAGGAAGGAGTTTAAGTGGCTCTGTTCAAGATGAATTATAGATGGGGTATAGGGATGGGGTACGCGCTAAAAGGAAAAACAGCTGACTTGGGTGGCAATGCGGGTTCATACAGATACTGTTATTCTCAGGGAGCAACTGAAGAATCTTCGAGTGGGAGGGTGAGATGGGGGCCACTGCTGCTCTTCTACCCTCTCGTGTGTCCCGAGTTGTTTCTTTTGCTTCTGTCAGCACACCAACCTAACGAAACCTTTGACAACCAATGAAAGAGGAGACAACTCTCCTCTTCCACCTCTCAAAAGCCAGGGCAGAAGATTCCAGCTAATTTCACTCTGCGCAAGCCTAGGCCTAAAACTGGCACTGGTCCGCAAAGAAAAATGAACCCCAAACAACTGGAGGGTTGTCGGGGGCTACCTAGCAGGCCAAACAGAAAGAATTGGTATCCGTGGGCATTGTAGGTCAGTCAATGACAGAGCCCTTGCTTAGCCTACGACTTAGGTCAATCCCTAGTAACAATCAAGGTGTGTGTGTGTGTGTCGAAGGGGGGGGGGTCAGAAGAACTGTGCCCACGTAGTGGAGAGAGACCTGTAAAAGCTGTGTTCAGTGATCTTAAGGTTTCCTGTCAACAGAGACTTTGATGTCTTGAAATGGGGTACCACTGAGCAAGCTGGTTCCCACTGAGGAATCCATAAAGCAAGCAAAGCTTGCTGGGGGTTTACTGTGGCCAGGGCGGGCTTCAGTCGGCCTCTTGCCCATCTGCACGGTTCTGGGGTTCATCTGAGTTCAAGGACGACTCCGTGGGCCTCGTCGGCCCCACTGGTCTAGGCGCGCTCCCGCAGGGCCTTCTCCAGCAGGACTCGCAGGCGGCGGCGGCGAGAGCTCAGCTCCCTTTCCCCTCCCCGGAGCACGGGGCCCGCTGGCGCCGGGAGAAGCAGGCCACCCAGGGCAGCGCGCGCCATGCGGGACCCGCAGCTCCCCGCCTCGGCCTCGCGCTTGCCGCCCCCGCGGCACGGCCAGCCGCAGCCCCAGTGAGGAGGAAGAGGCGGAGGAGGAGGCGCCGCCCCCTTGGCGAGCTCGGCGCCCCGGCCGGCCTTGGCAGGACCCATGGCGGATCTCTCGCCCGCGCCGGCCCTGCGGGAAGGCGGCCCCCGTGCGCAACGGCCCTCGGCGCCCTCCCCTCCGCCGCGCTCCCGCTCCAGCTCGGAGCCGGAGGAGGCCGAGCTGTCGCTGAGCCTGGCCCGCACCAAGACCCGCTCGTACGGCAGCACGGCCAGCGTGCGGGCGCCCCTGGGCGCCGGCGTCATCGAGCGCCATGTGGAGCACCGGGTCCGCGCCGGAGACACGCTGCAGGGCATCGCGCTCAAGTACGGAGTCTCGGTGAGCAGGGCGCCGGCCTGCGGCCCCCCGGGCGGGGTTGGAGATGGGAGCGGAGGGTGGGGAGCAGGCCGTGCGTCCCCGCGTCCCCGCGTCCCCGCGCCGCAGCCGAGCGCGCGCTGCTGCTACTGCAATGGGTGTCTAAGCTGCTGCTGCTGCTGCTGCTGCTGAGGCTGCAGGGAGGCCGCCAGGGCTTCTCCCACCAGCTAGCGCATGGCGTTCCCAGGGCCCCACCAGGTCGTTTCTGTCGCGCGAGAAACACTGAGGCGGTGCACGTTTTGGGCACTACCCACAGTCACCTTTCTCCGTGTTGCTACCCGGAGCTCACAGTGTGTATTTACTCAGAGGGAAACCGGTGCGAATCCTGCGCTGTGTAAACAAGCTGTGATGACTCAGGATGTACAGTTCTTCCCGTGAATGGTTCTGTTTCTATCGATTCTGCTTCTTTATTTATAGAAGTGAAATTACACCCCTGTGCTTACTGGCAACCCTGAACGTGACACCTGGCGCTAAACAGCAGCCAGGGACTGTGGTCTAGGTGAGCTGGAGGGCTGTGTTTTACAAATTTATAAAGGTGTGCGTCTTGGGTATATTGCATTACACCTTAGGGAAGATCGTGGAAACCCGAGGGAACAAATTGTTTCATTAAAATTACTTATAGTTAACTGTGAGCTGTGTGATGGCCTTTTTTACATTGGAGCTCAGTATCCGTTTTCAATGATCTTTCCCCAAGCTTCGTTCAGCGGTCGGACAGAAGAAAGGTGATCTTGCCTGTATCTTCAGAGTAACCTGTTTTGCATATTTAACCAGGTGTTTGTTTACCAGCAAGGGTTTCTATCATTTGAGCGTTCTGAGAGCTTGATCGCACCGTTTGGAGACCCTTCGTAATGTTCTGAATGTGAACATACACGTACAACTGTCGTCATGCGCTCCCTTGGGCAGAGCTGAGGAAAAGCAAATGTGAAATCTCAGGGTATGAGTGTTTTGCCTGCATTTATGTGTGTGCAACACCTGTGTGCCTGGTGCCTTAGGAGACCGGAAGAGGGTGCCAGATCCCCCGGAAATGGAGTGAACAGAGGGTTGTGAACTATCTGTAACGTCTGTGTGTGCTGGGACTTGAACCCTGGTTTTCTACACTCGTAACCACCGAGCCACCTCTCTAGCTTCTGTTTTCATGCTGATCTCATTTAATTTGGCTTTCATAAGCAGCCTCGGAGAGACAGGTGTGATTCATCCTTTTACAGATGAAAAGATAGATAAGAAGTCAGGGAATTTCCAAGTATGGTTATTATCTAGACCGGCTTAAACTAACACAGGGATATACTAGTGTCTTTGCTCTAAATAATACTTGTGATTTGCAATCTTAGCTGAGGAGTGCTCAGCATCCTGCTCACTCAAGAAGGAAGGTCATGTCTTTTGGCTTCTGTGCTTCTTAGCTACGAGGCTAGTATATGTGTATTTAGGAACCAGTGAAAGGGGTCTTTTCCTATGGTCTCTCCCCATGGCAGGTATCCTGTGACCCACATTCTTCTTGAATTGCTTGCATCTGCCAAACACACGCTTAGTGCGGTTCAAAGGCTTTCTAACCTGTCTGGTATAGATCCTGCCACTTTTAACCTTATTACCCTTTCCCATTAAAGTAAAAATCAGGTTTTCATTACTTTTATGAACACTTCTGATTTTTTTTTCTCAAAATTGTTTTATGTGCAGGGATGTTTTGCCTGTGGGTATGTCTGTGTACCACATGCACGCCTGGTGCCTGTAGAGGCCAGAAGAGGGCCTTGGATCCTCTGGCATTGGAGTCACAGCCTGGTGTTTGCCACCCCATAGGTGCTGGGAATAAAAACCTGGTCCAGGATAGTGCAGCTGTTGCTCGCACCTGCTGAAGTGTCTCTCTGGCCTCAGCTTCTGACTCTAATGTGTTAGATTCAGGTATGGTGAATCAGGCACTCCTTCTATGCCATAAGCAGGCAACAACGTGCCTCGGCACAGTTGTTAATACATTTTTCATTTTTATTTTTTCCAAGACAAGGCTCTCATGTGGCCCAGGTTGGCCTCAAGCTCTTGTGTAGGTGAGGATGACCTTGAACTCCTGATCCTCTGGCTTTTCGCCTACCAGAGTACAGGTGTGGTAAACTCTGTTGACACAGAGGGTAAGATGTAAGACATTGTAAGAGGTCCTGTGCACTGTAGGATATTTAGCAGCACTTCTGAGCTTTACCCACCAGATTCTCATTCAGACATTGCTAGATGTTCTCTTAAAGGCAAACTCATCCCTGGTTCTACATTCTTTTTGTTGTTTGTTTGTTTTTCTCTGTGTAGCCCTGGCTGGCCTTGAACTCACAGAGATCCACCTGCCTCTGCCTCTGAGAGTGCTGGGATTAAATGCGTGTGCCACCACTGCCCAGCTTCTTTATTCTTAGCTGATTACTTTGATGAAATTGTTTTGAAGGTACTTCCATTGATTGCACAGAAACAGGGAAAGTGATAATACTTATCTCAAGCTGGGTATAATGGTACACACCCATAACACCTGTAACCTTTGGGGACAGTGAGGCCGGAAGGTTGCTGGGAGTTCCGGGTCTGTCTGGGTTTTCCTAGAGTACAGGTGCCAGGGCTGCATAATAAGATGATACAAACAAATTAAACCATCAGCCAACCACCAAACAACCAACCAAATAAGCAAAACTCTTCACATAATAGCTAAGTGGTATTTTTACTTCATTCTTTTTGGTTTTCTGAGGCAGTACCTGGCTGGCCTGGAACTCCAGAGATCTGCTTGCCTCTGTCTTCCAAGTGCTGGGTTCAAGGGATGGCCACCATTGCCTGGCTCTTATAGGTCCCTCTTCCCAATGAGTCTAGCTTGTTTTATGTCAAATTAACATAAAACTACCCAACCCAGGTAGGTTTTCTTTTATTTTGAGACAAGTTTTCCCTGTACAATCCCAGTCTGACCTTGAATTTTAAAAAAAAGAAAAGAAATAAGCATGGCTGGAGAGCTGGTCCGGTGGTCAAGAACATTTGTTGCTCTGCGGAGGACCTGAGTTTGGTTGTCGGCACCTATATGATGACTCACAACCATTGATATCCAGTTCTTCTGACCTCCTTGGGACCAGGCATGTAGATGGTATACACATACACAAGCCATCTCATAGGGCCTCCTTTTTTTATTTCTTTTGACACAAGGTTTCCTGTAGCCAAAGCTACCCTTGAAGTTACCGTATAGCCCACACTGGCCTTGAACTCCTGATCCTCCTGCGTCCATTTCAGTGCTTGGGGTTATAGGCTCATGCCATTGCACAGGCAAGACCAGTTCTGTGCACCAGCTGCTGGTGAGTGCTGTTGGGTTCCCTCCCCTCCTCCAGCTGTGAGTCTAACACTCAGTTACACACAGGGTTAGGTTTGGGCATCTCTGCTAGAGTTTGAGGAAGTGGTTCTGGGAAACTGAAACCATTTGGGTCTGGTTGAGAAAACCATTAGCTGCAGTTCAAACCTCAGACTTAAACTTGCTTGGGCTGGAATGTCCCTGCTGTGTTTATCTCTACGGAGACCTTAAAGCCCCTTAGCTCTGGTGCTAGATTTAGCTATTGTTTAATTCCAGCATCCTGACCTCTCCCTGATGTGTCTAAGCCTCTGGGGAAAATTAGTCAGAGCTCTGAGTTACCACTTAGAATATTTTATTTGGAAACCTTGGAAGAACCAGAGGCCTGCACAGAAACAGCAAATAGGAAGGAGGCAGCAAGGAGAACTATTTGCATAAACTCTCCCCCCCACCCCCTTTCTGTGACAGAGTCTAGACTTGGCCTCAGAGAAATGCTTAATCTGAGCTTCCTGCCTTTGCCAGGCCACCGTGCCTGGTGTCAGAGTTCAGATTTGCTCATCTCTTTCTCTTCCATTTAGCTCCTAAGCTGAGTTGCTCCTGTGATCTCCCCACGTAAAAGTCACCTTGCTGGGAGGGAGTGGTGTGGTCTTCCTGTTTAGGGGGGAAGAACCCGGGAAGTTAGGCTTAATTGTGTGGACCTCTGGGCTGGTTTTAGGGGCAGCCACTGCGGCTGGTGGAGGTTGTTGATTGTCACAGTGCCGCCGAGAGTGAAAGCTGTGGCAAGGGAACCTGCAATTTAAGGTTTTAACAGTTTTTCTTGTATTCCTTCCCCCCCCACAACCTGTCACTGAGGTATACAGTTCAGTGATGTTAAATACGTTTTACGATTGTGACATCATTGTCACAGTTCAACTTCAGAAAGTTCCTTCACCCTGAAGATACCTCCAGACCCATTTCACCCACCATTCTCCAGTTCCAGGAGACAGATAATATACCTTCTGAATATATATGTGTATATATAGTATTATATATAGTATTTTATATTATAGTACACACATAAAATATTATATGTAATAAAATATTATATATGAACATTTCCTGTAAGTGGATTTCATACACTCTTTTGAGATTATGTAAGGATTAAAAAAAAAAAAAAGCTAGCTTTTACCCATGAGCACATGGTCATGGGAAGGATCTGGTCACCACTAACACACAGACTGGAACAGGCCACAGGTACAGGGTTCATCAGAGAGAATCATTTAGTATTTCTGTCTGTTTTCTACAAAAACAAGGATAAAATGATAGTCGTGTATCTATGTGAGGTGGGGGAGTTGTGTGACCAGGGGAGCTGGCCTGGAGCAAGAGTGAGATGGAGATGTGTCCAAACCCCCCAAAAATCTCATCTTGAGACCAGGAGGGAGTAGGACCATTTCTTCCCTGCCCAGGGCCTGCATGTCCTGGTGCAGGTAGTCCTATAGGTCCCCAACTCTGCCTGCCGCCCTTGAGGAGGGCGCATAGCCTGGCAGCCAGGTTACAAGTTAAACTTCCTTTCTCCTTATAAGGTCATGTCCAGCAAGCACCTGGAATTCCTTTTCATGAAGATGAGGCATTCCCAGCACCTTGGCCCTGGCCGGTGATGTACACTCACCCTGAAAGCCTCTACGTGCT